GTCCTGTTGAAATCAATATAAAATTTCCATTGACTTGAGCCATTTCACCATGTTGAATACAGCTGTCAAAAATGGATTACCTTCTGTAATATGCCATGGATCACATTAAATACATCTTTTATATAATCCTTTCTCTCTCAAGTTTCTGGTAAGTTCCAACAATCCTTTATCACCTTCTGAGCACGGACAAGAGTACCAGGGTCTGCATGCAATGGTATCTCTGGATGTTTCAAAAAGCTCACCCCCCCTCCTTTACCTGAAAAAAATTGATCTCAGAGCACATCCATCTGATTGATTATGCTCGACACAAGACCAAGCTGATGGTAATATCTTCCTGTGATTAGAATTGTCCAGGGTGTTGAGACATGTGTTTAACTCCTTTGTCAGCCTTTGCTATGAAATGGACTATTCAAAAATAAAATGGTGCTGTCATTTCTCCTTCCGGAGGCATTTCACTTTGCATGGAATTATTAAATACTCATAGGAACAAGAGAGAACACTCTAATCATTAGTCTGGATAGTCAAGTTATTGGGAAGAAGGGAGGCAAGGTAGAAATCTCATTAAAAAAAAAAATACAAAAAAGGAGTGCAATATGTGCAGGTATAGGGCTAGAACTCAGGCTTCTCCATATACAGGCAAATATATTGATTTCAAAGCTTCCGTATGTTTGTGTGAGATGTGTCTTATGTCTGTAATCTTACTTGTTCTCAATGTTTAACTATCCTGTACAAGGTGGAAGAGTGTCAATAGGGTGGATTGTTCCAGATCTAGGGTGGAACTAGACGATCCTTAAGGTTCCTTCCAACTCTAACCATTCTGTGATTCTATGAAGACTGTCTTCATCCTCAGATTCTCCTAGATGCTGTTGTAAGGTTTGTGACCTAAGAAGTTAAAGTTCATTAAGCAAAGGAAACAACCAAACCCAGACCTCCTACTTCTCTTCTCAGCACTCTAATGATCCAGCTAGTGGAAGATGGAACAGGTGATAGCACTGGCAGCTCTTCCTCTCCATCTGCTCCTCAAAGAACAGGATCCCCTCTTTCCATTTTGCATTCGAGCATATAATTGCTGAAGGAAATTTCAGCCTTGTGAATTTCTTGCAGTGTCTCCCAGCAGGTCGGAATATCTAAAGTCCCAAAAAGGCAAGATTAAAACCACAGTATTTCTGTGTGGCTGTCACTAACTGACTTTTTGCTCAGCCTGCTAGCCTTCTTAGGTGCTAGAAGAACTCAAATTTCTCGTAGGGGAAGGCTAAGTGACAGCTTATATATCAGGCATGGCAGTACCTAACTGTAGTCACAAATTGTCTTTTGAGAAAATACTTCTGAAGCCATAAATGAAGTAGTATTTTTCGACAGCACATCAGAACATTTCTGTGCAGTGACTTTCCTGTACTATTCTGTTGCTAGCTCAACATATTTTACATCAAAACACATCCTCTGCCTGGTTCTCTGTGAAAGTTTTGTTACTGTATACCAAGCAGTGCAGCTTTTAACATTAGACATTATCACTTAAGCTTTTGATCTTGTCTTTGGTCTCTTTTCTGCTTAGAAATATTCCCATTTATGCTGCTACAGTAAATAAACACTAGCGTCCAAAAAGTATTAGTCCATCAGTGTGTTCACTATTATGGTATCAGAAGATCCTCCAAAAGAAATATGAAATGCTCATAAATAAATTAAAAAAAACCTCAAAAGTTGCTCACTTTTTGATTGGGGGGGGGGGGCCTATAATCTACTGACTACGATTAGTCTAAATTTTATTGACTTTCAATATATTCAGTGGGGTACTCCTCACCCTTTTGCTTTGTGTAAAGTACTTTGCGTGCTACGCCATGCTCCACTCGCTACTGTAAGACCTCAAAACAAGTGGGACAGAGGGATAACTCATGTTAAGATCACATGGGTGGCATTCAGCTGAGTAAATGCAGACTTGTACAATGTAGACATTTGCAGCTGAACGAGACACCCGCTGGTCTTGTTACAGTCAATGGAGAGAAACAGGCATTTCTAGGATGCAACTCAGCTTATCATAACATAGACATCTAAAATAGGTTAAATGAATCATACACTAAAAGTGACTATTTCTGGTTCCCTTTATACTCAGTAGAGAGAGTGACTAGCTCAGATGCAGACATTCACATAGTAGACATCTAAAGTTAGGTGAGATGAACAACCCAAGATGTCTTTCCATATCCCTTAAAAACGTCTGGTGTAGAACAAAATGTCAGAGGATTCTTTTCAGCTACCACTAGCCTCTTCCAATGTATCAGCCCTCTGAATATTTTATTTGTTAACCTCTTCCTAAAAACACTTTGCAAATGTTCAGGTTATGACTGATACCCAGTACAGACAAGTTTTTGATAACTTTTCCTACTTCAATCATGTGAATGTATATCAATTTTGTGTATTGATTAAATGAATGTGTCGTGTACAGGATCCATGATTCCCTAAACAAAAGCTACAAAAAAAGCTAACAGATTCACATGGAAGAAGGTGGTAGATAGATAACTAAATGAATCAAGGTTGATATTTAAGCAACATGAAGACTAAAGCACGTTGTTTGGAACCACCCGTCCATGGATACAATTGCAGCAAGCAAAACGAGAAGAAACGCTGCAAAATTAAAAAAGTAGTAAGATGACTACAGAAAAGAAGCAAGGCAGGAGAGAAGAACTCTGAAAGCTAATATTCTTTCAGCCACACAACTTCTGCTTATCATCATGGCTGTAGTTGTTTATGCCAACAAATCCACCTGTTTTCTTTTTGCTTGGTACCACCATCCTACTGCCAGCTTGGATGGCATTCGTCCACAATAGCGGATGCCATCACCAGCAGAAGTAGCTCCTTGCTCTGTAATAGGCTGTATAAAACTTTGAATTTACTTGTTTACTGATAATTATATGCATGCCACCATTTGGAAAGTTCTGCTTTGTGCTACTGAATGTGTATTTGTTTATCTCATAATATATAAAATATGGAGTTCAAATTCTTAGAGGAATCATAAGGGTATAATCATACCAGCTGCAACATTTCAGCCTAATCATAGATCAATATAGAGTTGGTTTTTACACCCTGCCTGCAACAGTGAAATCTGTTCATTTATTAGGTTTCTGTGGTATAACTTGCACCAAGTGGCTTGCCACAGCCCATTGGTTAGTGCTTATAAAATCTGGTACATTCGCCTTCCAAATACCAAGCAGATCTTTGCTCCTACATTTTAAGAAAGTTAAATTTTCAACTCTTTCCCCTGAAGTGTGCTGAAGTTCTTCAGTCCACCTCCTGAAGTTTTGGCTCATGATGTTCCCCTGGGAATCTGGCAAGGATGCAAAAGATAGCTGTTGGAGAAATCATACTTCTTGCAGCATTTTATACCCACATCTTCTTAAAGCCATGAGTGGCTACATGTTCTCCTTATGGAACACAGTATCTTGGAAGCAAAGTCAGGCACTATCCCACCGGTTTAGGTCCCCTGTTTACTCGTTGCTGAATGTTTACTTAGTCTGTAGTGAGTTTGCATTTAAGATTACACAAATCAGTTGGGAACATGGGAGTTGTATAGCAAGAAAAATGTAAGCAAACAAACAAAAGCAAAAAACATTTAGGGATATACAATATATTCAAGCACTTCTCACTCCTTATAAAAAGGATTTTCTTCACATCCATCTAATCTTCTTTGCATATTAAAGTCTCAAACAATAATATCCTGGTCTCAGATTGATAGGAGCTTGAAAAGTCTGAAGCAGTAGTGTCTGACTTATTGTTTAACCCTTGAATATTTATATGCATGTGCTATATCATTTATAGAATCTGTTATTCATCTAGAGTGTTGTTTTTCAGTAGGTCAGCTGTTCACATTTAACTTGCCAGAGATGTAATGGGGTTTCTGCAGAGATGCAGGCTAAGGGCTTTTTGCTCATCTTGGGCACTGCGTTTTGCACTATTAAATAAGTTATCACCATAGAGTTCACCTTGAAAGCTGCTTCCCGAAATGTGTAATAAAGAGTTAACCACTGTAAAAGTTGCCACCTTGCAATGCACAGAAGGCTATTCCTAAAAAGGCTGAGCTAAGAGCAAGTTCAGCAGCAGCAGATAATCACATTTACTACGTTAAATGCAGACTCGGAATAATTTTGAGCAATATTGAACATAAGCCATAGACGTCTCAAAACGGTATTTAAATGCTTTCTGACATTGTGCATGAAATGAACGGCAAGATGTGGAAGGGAAGGTGAGCACCACGAGCACCTCTCGACTGAGGCGCGTTCCGCAGACAGGTCTGTTTGAAATAACCCACTGGGGGGGAGAGAGACTCTTCTCCAAACGGTCCCGTCCACAGCTTCTCTTGAAGCGATCGCATCCAAGCGTCCGACTTCCTGAACTTGTGAACTGGAAATTTAACCTAATTCAATTTTGCCCTGCCTGGGGAAGAACGCGGCGGGAGGAGCTGTGGGCAGGCCGCTATTTGCGGCAGTCCCCAGGACAACCGGCGTGCTGCCGAGGATTCCACCGCCCCCCAGGAGAAGCCGGCAATGCAGCCCTCTGTCTTCCCCAAGTCTGTGTAATTTACTGCATTGTTGTACCCACAACAGCCGAATTTATTGGCTCCGATCCTGCAAACACCCGTGTTGAACGACACACATGCGAGCAGCGCTACCGAGTTCAATAGGACTATTCTCGAGTGTAAAATAATATCCTTGTCTCCAGTTTGGGAACGAGCTGAAACCATCTATTTAGAGGGGCACTGCCGGGCTAAAATAATGCGTCTATTTAAAACGCCGCCTTTGCCAGGGCCCGCACCGCTGAGGGGAGGGGGGTGCCCCGGGCAGCGTTCGGCTTTCCCCAGCCAGGGGAGCGCCCCGGCCGTTCCCCCACACAGGGGCTGAGGAGACCGGTGGCCGGGTCGGCTTCCCCCCAGACGGGGCGGCGGTTGGGCGGCGCGAGGGGGACTGAGAAGGCCGAGACTCGCAGGGCACGACGCCGATTTGACTCCGTTTTTAACCCAGGTGGCGGAGGGAGGTAGGGAAGGAGGGAAGAGGGGGTCGGCAGGACGGCGGAGACCCACCGCCTTCCCCCGGCGGCGGCCGCGGGGGCGATGCCCAAGATGGAGGCCACCGCCCCCGCGCCACCTCAGGTGCGAGGGACCCGGCGCCGTCGCCGCCGCCC